AAACGACCAGTCAGATCTTTATGGCTCATCAGCCACTTTAGGCTACTATGATCCGTAATGACGGTAAATGGCATTAGTTCTATATAGGGCCTAAACTTCTTAATCGCCAGAACTACAGCTAAACATTCACGTTCAGTTACCGAATAGTTTTTCTGCGCCGATGTTAGTTTGTGTGAAAAATATGCAATTGGGTGCTCTCCGTCGGAATCATCCTTCTGGAAAAGCACTGCCCCAATGCCTACATCAGACGCATCGCACTGAACGTAGAAATGTTTGCTGAAATCCGGGTGATTAAGTAGTGGACTCGAAATCAGAGCTTCCTTGAGACGATCAAAAGCAGCTTTAGCTTCCTCAGTAAACTTGAATTGCTTACCCTTCTTCAGCGTTTCAAAGATTGGGGCAGCAATGGTAGCATAGTCTGGTATGAATTTTCGATACCAGCCTGTTGCTCCCATGAAGCTCCGCACCTGTCTTGCTGACTTAGGATAAGCAAAACGAGTTATGGTCTCCACTTTAGCTGGGTCAGGTTTAAGTTTGCCGCCTCCTACTATGTAACCCAGATACCTTAGCTCTTTGAAGCAGAATTTAGATTTAGCCACATTGATGGTCAGACCTGCGTTTGCTAAACAAATAGATACACGTTTCAGCAATTCCAGATGTGTCTCGAATTCTGGAGATACAATCAAAAGGTCGTCTAGGTAGACAAAAACCCTATCACGAAGTGCCGCGGGGATCACTTTATCCATCAAACGGCATAACCTTTGGGCTGCATTGCACAACCCGAAAGGCATAACCGTAAAATGATAAAGTGGTCGTCCTGGCACCGTGAATGCGGTTTTCTCTTTACTAGACGATTCTAGTGGTATCTGCCAGAACGCGTCTTTAAGGTCGACACTAGAGATGTATATCGTGTCTCCCAAACGACTGAGCAAACCTTCAATGTGCGGCAATGGATAGGCATCCTTGACTGTCAGTGCATTGAGCTTGCGTGCGTCCAGGCATAGCCGGTTTTTCTCGCCCCTTCGGACTAGAGTAACCGGATGACTCCATGGACTCTCACTAAGCTCAATGACACCGAGGTCAAGCATCCTATCCAGCTCCGCATACATCAACTTTTGCACGGCCGGGGAGACAGGATAGTGACGATCCTTAACTGGAATTGCATCACGAGTATCTATCGAATGCCTTTCCAAATCTGTCTTACCTAAACCTTTTCTACTATAACAGGGGAACATCGATATCACTAAATCTAATTTCTGCTGCTGATCTGGCGTCAGCTTGTGAGTCACGACATCTGGATTACTATCTGCCTCTTCGCAGAGACTAATCCCGTTGGTCGTGAGACTCTCAAGGCTGGCAAACATTTTAAAAACCTTCATGAAATCGACCCCCAAGAATAGTTCTCGATTCAAACTAGGCACTAAATAGAATGTAATAACATTTACCGCATCACGGAACCTAACTTCAGCCCTGACGCGACCGACTATCGGATGATTAGTACCATCCGCTGTTTTTATAATATTTCTAAATTCGTAAACCTCAAGACCGGCGTCCTTTACGAACTTCAGGCAATTTTTCCCGAGACAGGTGACCGTTGCACCGCTATCAAGCAAACCGACTATTTCCTGACCGCCTATCCGTAACCGGGTATATAATCGCGAGTCTTCACCCTCATAGAGTGAAGCGGACGAAATCTCGTGTCTCAACCGTTTCCTCACCTTATATCGCTCTCTTGCTTTTCTAATTTTGTTCGACACTCTACCGAAAATTCTATTTTTTGCTTCGTTGTATTGTTGAATCCGAATATGTAGGGGTTTGAGTTCTCGGAGCCGAGGCTCAGGTTTTAACTCAAACTCCGACCTATTCGGATTCTTTAAAATTGTTATTTGTAGCTGCTGATGTTGTTGTTCCCTACTCTCTACTGGGCCTACACCTCGGTCGACCTCGCCTCCCCAGTTCGAGACGGGTTCCGGGATCTGTTTCCCTGACATTTGGGACATTTTGGGGCCACTACATTATCCTTCCCACACCGGAAACAAAACATCCGAGTTATGGGCTGTGGACAGTCGACGAAACCGTGGCCAACGACTTTACAGTTCCAACAAACGTACTGACTTGTCGACCGAATACCATCTACCTCCAAATCGATCAATGACTGCTCCTCATCCTCACCACATAATTCATGCACGCGATGCGTGACATTTGCACGTTGATACAGCTGCCTCTGATTAGCAATCAAGTTTTCCGCTCGCCTCACCTCGCGACAGAATTCTGACAGGGTTTTCAAACGAATCGAAAACATCATCTGTGCCAAAGATGGTTTCAGATTACCCCGCATGATTTCTACCAGCTGCTCCTCCGCATATGGGTGCTGTTGCTGGTTTCGGAGTTTAATAACGGCATTGTAGTAATCATCAAAACTTTCTTGCGGCAACTGTCGGCGATTGAGAATTTTCATTTGCACCTCGTGTTCTTGCTCAAAGCGTCTGTATTGTGCTAAGAGGGCTTTCTCCAACTCCTCCCAGGTGTTAATATGCACTATTTTCCTGTAGTCCCAGTACCAGTCTAGAGCGGGGCCGTCTAGAAGAAGATGGAAACTCCTCAGGATTTCATCATCAGAGCATCCGTAATCCCTCCTCAACGCTCCAACTCTAAAGATGAATTCTTGCACATTCATGGTTTTACTAGTGCCATCAAATTTAACACCCCATTTGGCTAATTTAAACTTATCCAATGGCTCTGGGTGTCTTGGCCTCGAAATTGCCAAGTTATAATTTAGCGGTTGTTGTTGAGCGGCTGGCCCAGACCAAGTATCCTGTGGATACCCAGGCTGGGAAGCGCTATATTGCTGATAGTTAGCTTGTGGGTCTGGTGCTGGTTGTGGCCATAACTGCTGCTGGCTGTATCTGTTGAAAGCTGGTTGCGAGTTAGGCAAAGGGTTTGGTTGTTGCAAAATCGGCGGCTGAACATACCGCTGCGCTGCCGGCTGAGAATACGGCAACGGGTTATTCTGCTGCAGAACTGACTGCTGTTGCTGATATTGGGTTTGTACTGGTGGCTGCTGATTTGGTGTTTGTACCGGAGGCTGATATTGTGTTTGTACTGGCAGTTGTTGAATACTAGCTTCTGTTACTCTAGGAGCTGCTGGACCGACGGGCACATAATTTGGAGCCGGAATTAATGGTGGTGGTTGCTGGTAACCTGGCGTTGCTGGATGACCAAAGAATGATGGTTGTGCCTCTAAAGAGGTTCTCGGTGGTTGAGTTGGCGGTACCACATGGTTTGAAGGTGACAACATTGTTTGCATTGGAGCCGGATTAGTCATCGGCAGCGACAATATAAGCTGCTTCATGTCGTCCAATGCTTTCTGGATCTTGTTGTCGACCTCTTTCATAAATTGGATTTGATGTAATCCAACTGAGGCACTTACAATGTTTTGAATATCGCTGACCTGTATTGGACTTTCGGCACCTTGGCCTGCCATGCTCTCTCGAACTTCTCTCCTTATATTTTGTGCTGTCTCGCTTAAGAATGTTGGAGACACTACCGTCTGGTTAGCGCCTTCGGAGCTGATCGAAAGATCATGAGATGCTTGAGTGCTGAAAATCGGATCTGCTGTACTGGCTGTTGTTGTGATTGTGGTTGTGGTGGGATTCGTAAAAGTCACGACAGATGAGGTGGTAGGAGTATCGGTATGACAAGCTACGTTGGTACTGCTTGTCGCCATGGCGTTATTTTGATGCTGTAGACGACTCGCGCGACGGGTTAAAACCATTTAAAAAAAATAAAAATTAATATAAATCTTCACTTCAATATCAAAAATAAAAAAAAGGTATTGTATATATATATATATTATATTTCAAGTTATATATATAAATATGTAAAAGTAATTCGTATTCCAGAATCTTAGCAGCGTAAATTGGAAAAAAAAAATATATGTTCACACCTAAGATTTCTTCCTATCAAAGGCAAAAAAAAAAAAAAAATTTGATAAAACTCAAAAAGCTTAAATGCGGGCGGCATTTTCGGGAAAGTAAAAGTTTGCAGGTAGATTTTATTTCACAATTTACATTGCTGCTATGTGTATAGATATGACCTAATTCTTTTCTTATTTATGGTTTCAGGAGATGCAGAATACTAAACGAAAATTAAAAAGATGGGTGAAACTGCTAACTGGCTCTTCACAGTCCTGTCTACTAAGGTGCAGCTTAAAAAGGTTAAATGTACCAGACTTCTAAGGACTACCTCCCTAGACCGGCTGCGACTTAAGAACGTAAGTATTCTTAATTTAGGTATAGTTAGTTGTATGCTACTGTTAATTTAAGTGTGGATATGGTCGCCATCTTTTCCTTCCAACTTGAGCATTTAGAGATTAAGCTGTGCCTGTTATCTCTAAGCCTCAAGCTGTTAGGAAAAGATGGCAACTACGGAATCCAGAATTTTGCATGCCCTTATTGCCCACACAAGATGTCGCAACGCGATCAGGACTCTTTTGTCCTAGAGACCGGGACTTACATCTGCGTGACCAATAAGAACATGCGCAATTTAGGATTCGTAGCTATTGAAATAAAAAAGTGTTATTAAAAATTTCCAAATATTATCTTATTCATCTAAGTAGCTACAGTTAGGGACTCTTGACTTTAAACCTAACCGGCCTACTCGGACTTAAGAGAATACGTCAAACTACTTGGTCTACGGACCTACTTTCGGCCCCACGTTGGGCGCCATTTGTGTAGTGGTGTGGTGGTCAGCTGTTTGTTTAAAATAAGACAAACAGAAAACAAAATAAACAGAAAGGGACAGAAGGGCCAGATTGCTAGCGGCGCTGGTATGCCCGCGTATTGCGCGGCTAAAGCTCGCCGGATGGGGTGGTTCTTGCCGGCAATCTGGACCATAAACACACACTAACACAAAAATTCATACCAGCATTTGGGGTATTATTTGAAAAAGGGGCCAAAAGTAGTCCTGCATCTCCCTGCGGTCATACCTATACACATTATTGTCCTCCCACTAGAGGATTCAACCTCACCATGACGTCCTCTTCCTTGACGTCCCCCAAATCTTCCCTGCGAACATTCACTTCCCCTACTTACCGCCGCTTTTCAAACAAATTACCAAATCATATTAATGACACAACTTTTCAAAATTTCTTTAAAACGTTATAAACATAATTTTTTTTATTAATTATTAGAATTTTTCTTAGCTTACGGCAAAATTTAAATTTTACAAAAATTTTTTTATGGACAATATCCAAAAAAATGAGTTTAAGGGAGATATTTATTATTACAAAAAAATTTTTATATACAAATTATCGGTTTAACACATTTAGCTTTTAGATTGACAAATTTTCTTTAGTTTCCCATTTTAAGTTTTTGTAGATTCTAAGCTTTAGATTTAAGTAGATTTAGGCTTTAGTAGTATGATTTCACAATATAATCTCTTAGTTTTAAAGCAGTATATTTTAAATTTTAGGTTTTAAGTTTTAAATAGATTTAAGAATTTAGCTTTTGACAAATTGTTTTCAGCTTTTAGTTTTATCAAATTTTTAAATTTTAAGTATTTTTAGATTTCAGCTTTTAAGTATTTTTATCTTTTAGCTTTTAAGTATCTTTAGATTTTAGCTTTTAAGTATTTTTAGATTTTAAGTATCTTTAGATTTTAGCTTTTAAGTATCTTTATATTTTAGCTTTTAAGTATTTTTTCATTACTTTCTCCTCTTTCTTCTACAGGTCCTACGGCTATGGAGTTGGCAGGTGTTGCAGTGGGGTTTCCGTCGTCCGTATTCTGTCCAGGTCCGGGTAATTCAGGTCAGTTTGCAAAAATTTTAAATATCTTTTAAATAATTATTTATATATATTTATTTTTTTTTTTACATATATATACGTATAAAAATACTGAGCTACTGGGTGCAAATCTGCCGCAAATTCTTCTAAAAAACTAGGCCTGAGCTCAACCCTAACGTCGCGCACGCTTAGCGGTAATTTTTGGCCAGCGGTCTGGTCCGATCCTAACCAATGGTAAGCTTGTTATTTTATATATATATATATTTTTTTATTTATTATTTTCCCTTTTTTTTATTAATTATTTAAAAGGTACTGTCAGTCCGTCTTGTCGTTCAGGGTCAAAAATCTTTATGGTCGAAACCTTTGGTATACCTGCGCACCCCAGGATTGGCAGTGCGGAGCCGATGTTCCCAAATGAAAGATCCCACGTTGGAAGTCGGCAGAGGTGGCGTTGAAATATTTGTATAACCTTTTTTTTTTTTTGGTGTTCAATTTATATAATTTATATTATATTGTTTGATTTAAATAAAGACTTTAAAAATGCTTAGGCGACTTTTATTGTGCGCACTTGCCACTTGCTGCTTCGTTGAATCTCAAAGAAAAAAGGCCGACATTTTGCACATTAGGGTCCGAGAAACCTCGGATCCCATAATGGCTTCCTACTGTTTCAATTCCTTTCAGCTATTCAATCTACTGTTTCAAATAATTTTCCTAGTGTTTGTTTTTGTTTACTTTCATTTTTTTTTTTTTCTCAAAAATGTCAAACGACGCGTTGCCAACTTTATTTTTCCCTTCTTCTTATTTCTACAACCATTCACACATTTACCTACAGGGTGCACACGACACACTTGACTTGAATTTCCGTATGAACTAATGTAAAGGTAGAAGAAGATCAAGATCAAGCACATTTTACTTGATATCGGATGGACATTTTGCTTATAGAGATTATTTTAAATACATATTTGGGTTAAAAACTTGTCATCGGTGTATCATATTTAACGATATTAAAGTTTATAAGCTGTAAAAATTCAGCAAACGTATTTTGCTACATTTGCAAAATCCGAAGAAATACACCTAGGCCACTGTCGGGCCTGTTGTGCGCTCCTTAACATGAAAAAAAAGTTCACTGAATGAATTATTTTTCAGTGTTCAGAAACTCAGTTTCCTGAACGTAATTCCTAAGAATCTTCCAATTAGTGTTAGTCAGAAATGTTATTTCCGGAATAACATCACTTCCAAGTTACTTGGATCTAACTTAGTCGAATGCCTGGGAGTGGCAAAGAAAGTGCTCCAGAGTTTCACTGTCCTCTCCACATGCTCTACATTCATCAGAATCCGCACGTCCAATATTGCATAGATGTACTGTGTGTCCACTCAGAATACGTACCATCATACTCAGAGGATTTACTATATAATATAAATAAGCCATATTTTCTCAAACAATGCGAGTTAAATGACCTTGTTCGAGACTTGTTACATAATGGACTTGTTACATAACGGTATTAAATTGTCGTATTTTCTAAATAGGCAAGAAGATTTTATAACTTATTTCGGCAAAGATAACAATTTAGTCTATATCAAAAGGACTCTATGAAAGATGAAAAAAGTGCATGCGTTGCTTTTGTAGACGTTTGTCATAATTTTTGGGGAACAAAAAAGCTGAAAACAATATAGAAAAAGTGCAAGAACTGCTTTCTGCATATCGAAAATTTAAATGCAATATGTCACTAAAAATTCATTTTTTGGACTCGCACATGGATTTTTTCCAGAAAATTTTGGTGCAGAATCAGATGAACAATGTAATCGATATCAAAATTACTCGAACATATTCAGAATCTTATTAAATCTATAATTTGCTTATTTCAATAAGAAAACAATTCAATTATCTAACTTCAATAATTTTTTTTCTTAAAATCTTCAATTTTGGTTATATTTTTATCATTAAATCATAGAAAGGTTGTTATTCGGTTGTTATTTCGGTTTTACGAATAGGCCTGACATTATATCTTTCGTTAAACCGGGAAACCACTGTATAATAAATTTCTACATTGAAAAAAGAAGCTTTTTTTTAATATATTTTTTCATTTTCAATGCCATAATTTACAACTTTGTTTTTAGGCATTTAATTTCAACACACAAAAATCAATTGTCAAAAAAATTATTTAATTAATTAATAATTTTTTTCGTTTGTTAAAAATAAAAAATCGGATTGTGGAAGAAGTGTGTATAAAATGTTATGTGTTGTGAACAAATGTCTTGCAAGTCCAATTATCGTGATATTTTCAAGTATTGTGAGAAAAGTAAGTTCTAAAATGTTACTTTTTTGTCAAGTAGGCTTTTAACTTGATGTCAAAAAATGTACCTATTTGTTAAAAGTGAAAAATGTTAACGGGTGAAATTGAATTAAAAGATAACTGCAGAATTTGTATAATAAATATCACCCATCGTGAATTAATATGACTCGATGTTGTCACTTATTTCACGAAAAGTGTATAACCCTGGTCGCAAGCAACTGCACTTTAGGTAGATGCGAAATTGAAGGAAAGTTTTTAAGGCGATCAAGATAAGATGCAGAAAGTATCACAAGGAAAAATATAAAAATTATTCTAATACCGATTGTCATGGAATTATAGATGCAGTAAATAAAGGTTTGGATTGTGTAGTGGTAGTGGAAGTCACTAAACCATTGAATTTTATTAAAAAGAGGTGTCAAAAAAACCAGATCCAGTAAAAGTTGTTTATAGGAAAACTCTGAAATAACACTCCGCGAAAAAGCAGAAAAATAACTAGTACCCCTTACGACAATATCAAATACTCTTCACGGTAAGATGTTTTTATTAAATCTATTAACGTCTAATTTCAATGTCAACTTCACGCGGCCCTTACATTCATTTAATAGGTGCAGAGGTATCATACAAATGAATACTCGTAGGGATTCTTGCCAAAAGTGCAAATAATTGGGTTAGAGGTCATATGGATAGATGGGAAGAATTTGGCAATCAGCTATCCGAACAGTGGTGTGAGACGCCATAGCCGGTTAGATCAACTAGCAGTTACGCTATTGTGTATTAGTCCCTATTTATAAATGCTCAATCCAATTGAAATCATTTGGTCCAAAATCAAAATTGTAGTAGAGTTATACAGCACACAACTACATTTTACTAAAAGGAGAAAAAAATGAATTGAGTGTAACTTTTCACCTATTGGTCCTACCAAAAATTGTCCAAAGGAGTTCAGATAGCTATTTCTTCATCCAAAATAATTTTTTTTAATTAATTTTTTTTTTTTTTTCAAAATAGGTCTTTTTTTGCTCAAAAGAAAGCTTATACAATTTCCTTTAAGGGCTTTATGGTCAGTCCCATAATGGGATACGAGTGGGATATATACTCAAAAAATTTTTTTTTTTAAATATTGGATAAAAGTTAAAAGTTATACTCATTTGAATAAAATCCTGTACCAAATTGCCTATCTTTGACCCCCTCTAAGTCCGGTCGTTCTTGACCGATAGCGCTGAAAATTTGTGTCTGGCCTACTGTTCAATAGTACTAACCTTGGATAGAAGTCTTTCAACTCGGAGGAAAAATAATGTTCACAACTAAAATTAAAGTTTACTTGATTTTAATATACCGTTTCTTAAAATTTTTGTCCTGGCGTCAATATTTAGTGAGCTGGATCAAAGGATAAAAAGGTTCTTTTTTTTCAGCGGCAAATACTTTAAAGTTTTCGATACTTACTACAAACAAAATTTTTACTTTTTAAATACAAAATCGGAAATTTTCGATATAAACAAGTGTCATTGTTTAGCCGACGAGAAAAAGCAAGGTTTATCCCTCTTCCAAATTATTCTTTGATTACACTACTAAGAAAGCATGTAAATTTGTTTGTGAAGGTAAAAAATTCACTTTGAGCTACTTTTGAAGTGGTGATAAATGTTATTCTTTTGGAAGTACTTCGTTTTATTTTTTGCTAAGATGTACATATTTATTGGTGGATCGGAGTCCAAAGTTAAATTTTAAACTCTATCAGAGAGTTATGACAAATTAATATCCTAACCACATTCTGTTAATGAATTTTGTTTATTTGAAAGGTGAACCTTATATCAGTCCAATTATGTAGCGATTTGAGAAAAATTTCGCTGAATAATTTTTATATGTACAAAACATGCTCGAGTTGAATATGGTCCCAATATAGTTATTGGTTAATGAATGAATTGATTACCGGAAGTGGCAGCTATGGCCAGTTATGAACTGATTCAGGTTTCAGTTGGTAATATGAAGTCTATTGATATTACATTTATATATTAAACATTCTAGAGGGAGTTATTAACAATAAATCTGTTTGTATGGGTGCTATTTATATTTTGAGCCTATTCTAATTTTCATTTGTGTTTAATTTAATTCTGAAAAAACTAACCAAGAATGATACATATTTTAATGGCTTGTTTCGGAATTTTTGCTAGCATCTCCATTATTTATGGACCGACTACGCTGATTTTAAATAGGAATCTTCTTGAAATCAAGTCTGACACTTTTGTTGGATCCCGAAGATATGTGTGATTTTCAGAAAATTTATTTCAACAGACAGATGGTATAGCTAGATGGTCAAAGCTTCTATAAGGAGTCAGAATATATAGGATCGGAATATGATATTGTAGAAATTAAAAACGCAATGAAAAACTTATATATTCCCTTGTTCGTAACAATTTATTGATATCATTGTATATCCTAACCTTGTTGTTGTATTTTGTGGCGAAAACTGTTAGACATCCATATAAATAAGATTTATAAATTTAAACACAATGACTAAAATACATACTAATATATGTACGGCATCTGCTGCAACATATAGAAAAGTAAAAACACATGTCTGAATGTCCTCAATAACAATGACGTCATAAACTTCTATAATACATATGTATATGAAGAGGTCGTCAAAAGAACATTTTGTTCGTCATTTTATCCTCACATCACAAAATGTTGGCATTTGTATAGATTATTTTAAAATTACTTCCTCTAAATAAGTACATAAATATATTAGACTGGTCCAATTTGTAAAAGTCTCGAAATCATGGAAACTGATCTTACTACTTTCATAGTCCCCGACTTATGTATTTTCACTGTTACTTTGTGTGGAATGGTCAAGGTTCACAAATCAGTGTAAAAATTCCTTTGGATTATAGTTAATTCGTATACATATGATTCCATGAATTTTATCGACCTCTTTGACGTCTTTTGGTTGACCTAAAATAAACGAAACTTCTTAGACATGGGTCTATAAAATCCATATTAGGCAAACAAGTGTTAATAATTGTCTCAGACGCAATTAAAAACTGTGTTGGCAAATAGTAAAGCGGTTAATTAAGAATCCTTAAAAGGAATAACGTTTAGTTTAGGGGCAACATCTTAAATAAGTTTAAAATAAAGTACATTTATTAAAATCAAGTTATTTATAGCCGACTTTTCATTTACTAACTAAAATTCCGGTTAAGATAGGTCATGGATTGTTTTAAGTTTTTCTTTTTTCGCTTTCATTTATTTTTTTTT